CTCAAAAAAACTGCTACATGAGGTTCTTGCATGGTCCTGTCGCTGACGAGGTCCATGTCCCCAACAAGATGAAGCACTCCGCCAGCCACCCTCTCGTTGTGGCAATCACTGGATAGCATCGAAAGTGGGGGGTTGCCTGAGTTCTAGAGGGGGGCAGGGGGTCGCCGACGTTCTAGATTTGGGGTCGCTGGACATGCTGATAGAGGAGCCCTAGCCGTCGCTAGCAATGGGGAATTGAAAAAGAAGACCAAAATTCTATTTTGTGAAGGAATCAGTTCGTGAAAATACTGTTAAGTGAATGGCATGGTGGGGTATTTTCATCATAACTCCAGGGACAGGGGATATGGTCCGTGTAGAAGCATCTATTTCTCTACTCCATTAAAATGAACTAGATGGTACTCCAACTCGATGTATGTTGATCTACTACTCGTATTTGATCCGGACGATGTTTCGTAGAGTCATCTAACACACTCCACTAAAAAAATCAAAGTTGAGGCATTTGAGTTGCATCAGATTCAGTACTGAAGTTGTGGAGCGTAGCTGTCCCAAACACACCCTTAATAGCAGAAGCCAGACATGTTGGCTACAACACCTTAGTAGGATGCTTCTTTCAAGTCTTCAAGAAAATTCCAATCAAAAATTAAATCTAGAGATTAATGGCTTATAGGTAAACCTTTTAAGCACTTCTCCACTCAGTACCTTTAGGGGAACTGAAATATCAACCAACTTGTTAATGTATATTTATTTCTAATTCTTAATTTCGTACAAAAATAGTAGTATCCGTACATGTCTGTGCATATTATTCCTAATTTAGCTATTTATGTCCCCTTCTAGTAGCATTTCTTGCCTCCTGATATAGAGTTCACATGAAACTAATTTGCTAACATTTTTTGGTTCCATATTTGCATTTAGTATTTTTTTTCAGAAGCAGTGCTATTTTTATCCAGCTAATATTTTTTATTCACAATTTATTTCTAACTTCATATATAAAGCACAAACTTCATTTCAACACTATACTTTTGGGACAATTTATTTCTAACTTAGCTGTTTAACTATTTTATATGTGGCTTCCACCAACTTTTTGCAACATTATACTTAATTCTTATGTATATATTACTATATATATATATGTATATAATTGTTTTATGTAAACCCAACTACTAACTTGTATGGAAACATTGTTTTCAATTTACGGAAGAGGAGAAAAGGCCACTGTTTAAGTATACATAGTAGAAGCTTTGCGCGCTTATACGTTTACATGGTGATGGTGTCATCATGTGCACTGCAAATGCTTTACGAATCCACTGTACTTTGTTGGTATTTCTCACGGGTCAGTACCACACAAATTTTATTTTATTTTATAAATCTCTGCCATTACACTAATATGATTAATGGCTGAGATAATTTTGACTCTGTGGAGGAACGTGGTAGCTCATTTGCCTCTTGTTTTATAATAAAATAATAATTGATATATAAATGGAATAAGTTATTGTGGTTTCTAAGCTTAGCATGTAAGAAAACTTGTAAGATTATTCATGGACAAGATGGATCGATCACACAAACAAAAACTTGATTCATCTGCCTATTTAATAGACTAAAGTATAACTTAATGCAACTTTTTTTGTGGTTTGTTGTGTATGCTGGCCCTGCAACTGAGCAAACCAAACAAAAAAAATCATGTTAGCCTACAATAGTAAGACACATGTACATTTATGAGTACAAAAAAGTGAAAATTGAATGCCATCTTAGGGTTTTTTACAACATACTTGGCCCTACAGCTTCATTATGCTAGATTTATTCAGTAAATAGCAAATCAGTAGTGATATCTGTCAATATCTTCTAAGACTTGTCTCATTTTTAAAGCATGTTCACATACCTTGTGTATTTATTTTCAGCCTTCACTTTTTGCCATTCTGCAAAACAAGTCACGTTGGTGTTTTCTGGTGGATCTCTAGCACTGAATTCAATCTGTCTGATCAATGGCAACCATACTAGAATCTTTGCTTGGATCATGTGCCAATAAGTTGAAAGATATCATTACAAATGAGGCCATATTAATCCTAGGGGTGGAAGAAGAGCTCGCAGAACTGCTGCGACGAGTAGAGTTAATACGATGTTGTATATATGATGCTGAGAAAAGGAGGACAAAAGAGTTAGCAGTAAACAATTGGCTTGGTCAACTGAGAGATGTCATATATGATGTTGATGAAATGTTAGATATGGCCAGATGTAAAGGTAGCAAGCTACTGCCTGACCATCCTTCATCATCATCAAGCAAATTAGCTGCATGTAAATGCCTTTCAATTTCCTCTTGCTTTTGTTACATCGGGTCACGTCGTGATGTTGCTGTTCAGATTAGAATTCTGAATAAGAAGATAGAGAACATTTCAAAGGACAAGATTTTTTTAACACTCAACAGTAGTACACAACCTACTGGAAAGGGTTCAACATCCAAACTGATAAGAAGTTCCAACCTTGTTGAGCCCAACCTTGTGGGGAAGGAGATCATACATTCTAGCAGGAAACTGGTTGACTTAATTCTTGCACACAAGGAAAGTAAGTCTTACAAGCTTGCTATTGTTGGAACAGGAGGAGTTGGTAAGACAACACTAGCTCAGAAAATATACAATGACCAAAAAGTAAAAAGAAGCTTCAGGCAACAGGCATGGGTTTGTGTTTCGCAAGACTATAGTGAAGTAACACTTCTGAAAGAGGTTCTCCGAAATATTGGTGTGCATCATGAGCAAGGGGAAACCATAGCAGAACTACAGAGAAAGGTTGCAGAAACAATCAACGGAAAGAGTTTCCTTCTTGTCCTAGATGACGTCTGGCATCCCAATGTATGGATGGATTTATTAAGACCTGCATTGCATGAAACGACCGCCGGAGTATTATTGCTAACCACACGAGATGATCAAATTGCAAAGAGAATAGGTGTAGAACATACCCATCAAGTTGATCTCATGTCAGTAGAGGTGGGATGGGAGCTACTTTGGAAGAACATGAACATCGACAAAGAGAAAGAAGTGCAGAATTTAAGAAACACTGGGATTGAGATTGTTCGCAAATGTGGCCGCCTCCCTCTTGCTATCAAGGTTATTGCTAGTGCTTTGGCTGGCAGGGATGTAACGGAGAATGAGTGGAAAAAGTTTCTGGAAAAGTATGCTAGCTCACAAAGCATGTTCTCTGATGAAACTGAAGGAGTTTTGTATCTAAGCTACGATGAATTACCACATCGTCTTAAGCAGTGTTTCCTTTATTGTGCTTTGTATATTGAAGGTACTATCATTCTTCGTAGGGAAATTACCATGTTATGGATTGCTGAAGGTTTCGTCGAGGAGAAACAAGGCCAACTATTAGAAGACACAGCAGAAGAGTACTACTATGAGCTAATCCATCGGAATCTCCTCCATCCAGATAGTGTAATTTTTGACCAGGCCGAATGCAGAATGCATGACCTTTTGAGACAACTTGCTTGCTATATATCAAGAGAAGAATGTTTTATTGGGGATGTTGAAACATTAAGTGGTAAAAATATGTCAAAACTGCGACGTGTTAATGCTATCAGCAAGAAGGGTAAAGTAGTGTTACCTAGAATGGATAAGATGGAAATTAAGGTGAGGACTTTCCTAGTTGTTAATGGTCCACGGAGAATCGATGATACACTATTCAAGAAATTTCTGCTTCTTCGTGTTCTGGTACTGAATTACTCACTTGTGCAAAGCATTCCAGATTATATAGGAAAACTGATACATCTACGCCTACTTAATCTAGATTATACTAGCATATCTTGTCTTCCGGAATCCATTGGCTCCTTAAAGAACCTTCAAGTTCTGAGCTTGAGATGGTGCGAGAATCTGCACAGTCTTCCTTGGGCGACGACCCAGTTGTGCAGTTTAAGACGTCTTGTTCTCGTCTGCACAAAAATAAATCAGGTTCCAAAAGGAATAGGAAAATTGAAGTTCCTGACTGATTTACGAGCATTTCCTGTTGGTGACGGAAGTGATAATGTTGATATGCAAGATGGATGGCAGTTGGAAGAGTTATCTTCTGTGTCGCAGATGAGGTTTCTTGGTCTTGTTAGATTGGAAAGGGTGACTCATTGTAGTACAAATACAGTGTTGACGGACAAAAAGCATCTAAAAGAACTAAGACTATTCTGGACTGAACGTGGAGAGGAACCATATACCGAAGAAGATGTTAGCAATGCTCAGAATGTCCTTGAGCAGCTAATACCTCCACGCAACCTGGAAAACCTAACTATTTCACGGTTTTTTGGTCGGCGTTATCCCACATGGCTTGGTACCAGCTGTTTGTCTTCAGTGATACACTTGCTCCTCACCGATTTACGATCATGTGTGGAACTTCCACCAATTGGGCAGCTACCAAACTTGAAATATCTGAAAATTGATGGAGCATATGCAGTTACCAAGGTTGGACCTGAATTTGTTGGTTGCAGGAACAGTGATCCCGTATGGAATGAGTTAGTTGCTTTCCCTAAACTTGAATGGTTAATAATCATGGATATGCCAAACTGGGAGGAGTGGTCTTTTTTTGAAGAAGAAACTGCTGAGGATGAAGGGGGGGAGGATGGAGCTGCTGAAATTCGAAAAGATGATGTCCGATCTGCAGGATATCAACTGTTCCCTCGTTTGATGGTGTTGGATCTCTTCAATTGCCATAAATTGAGGGCTCTTCCGCGACGGCTTGGAGAGGATACCGCCAGCTTGAAGGAGCTCAGATTAATTGGAACAAACAACTTGAAGGCCCTGGAGGACTTCCCACTGCTGTCTGAGCTCCTTATTATTCAGAAATGTGAAAGCTTGGAGAGGATCTCCAACCTCCCTCAAGTGACAGAGCTGCGTGTACATGGCTGTCCGAACTTGAGCCATGTGGAGGGTGTGGGAAGCTTGCAGCAGCTGGGGCTGGGCGAGGATATGCAAGAGATATCTTCCTGCTGGGTGTCTGGTCTTCAAGAGCAGCACCAACGACTTCATGGCGATGACCTGGATATCTACACATTGTCTACCAGTTAGATGGCAATGAAAACACAAGGTATGAACACTGCATATATACTGGTTGGACATTTTGTTTTGTGTCTTTGATTCTTTGGACCATAATTTTTTGCCTCATTGGATGCATAAAATTGCAAGCTTCGAAATATTATTCTGATGCACGAGAAATGCTTAAATCTGTTGTGCTTGTACATATTTGAAAAGAGCTTTTGTACATGCCCATGGCAGCAGATTGCATGCATACAAGTTATCAAGTGTTGTGTGTTGCTCTAAGTTGCTTATGTGTTTCATAGAATATGCTCATCGTAGCAAACCACTTAACTACTACGGGTTTGTTTCCAAATTCTATTATAGGCTGGACTGAAGGTGCAGTTCACTTGAGCGGGCAAAGCATGATGAGGCATACTAAGTTGAGGAGGCCTGTCAATGTTGAAGGTGCACAGGTAGCATGATGCGTACCAAGCTGGTGAATGAAGTATTCTGTTTTCCTTTGGGAATACTGTATCGCATTTCATTTTGTTTATATCTGAGTTCGGGCCAGACGCCTTTGCTGTACTAAACCTCCCATGTGGTATGCTTTCAGTTTCCGACGAGTTTCGTTTTATTTTTTTCCTGAACTTGGGGCCAGAGGCCTTTGCTGTACTGAACCTGTGTGACACAGTTTGGTTCTTTGGATGTAACCGACAAACTTTATTTTCACGTGATTGTATTATTTGAATGGAAGTGATGCATTTCTTTTTATTTTGTTGCTGAGCTTGGGCCTGAGGCTTGCTACAATGAACTGTGTAACCTGTATGTATGGCCGAACTTGTGTATGTGACCTGGTGAAGGAAGAGCACTTTGTTTCTGTAATCCTGCGGTCCGTCGTATGGCGAAACTGCATTATCAGAAGGACTCTCTGACTGAAACCAGGACCAATAATAATTTTGTACATATTTTTTTCCTGGCTGTTGCCATACTGACATAGCTGCAGAGTGCAGACTGAACACGGCGAGGAGATGTGCGCAGTGCGGTGGAGGTGGATGCTGCCGATGTCTGGGAGCACAACCCCTGCGGGAGGTACCCTGTGCCGGAGCTCTGGACTTGGGCGAAGGGCGGAAAGCGAAGATGAAATTGCATTTCGACGCAGATATCTGAACTATGCTCTGCAAAAAGAGCTGAATAAGAACAAGGAAAAGACACAAACTACCGCGTGCACCATCTGCCCTAGCTAGCAAGCAATGCTCACTTCGCCCGGCAACGGGGATTGGGGGAACCCTTTTCTTTTAGATAATCGTAATAACTTTATTGAAACAAAAGAATCATTACAATTTACAAGTCCGAAATGTAGTGATGGGCGACTTCGCGGTGAAGTTTCGAGTCAGGTCTAGGATAGATGGTTTTAACTGGGCTTTGGTGGCGGTTTATGGTGCCGCACAACCCGAGCTTAAAGCGGAGTTTCTGGCGGACCTTGTTCGAATCTGTGGGTCAGAACAGTTTCCAATTTTAGTTGGAGGTGATTTCAATATCATCAGGAGGAGAGAGAAGAAGAACAATGATAACTTTGACGGCAAATGGTCGTTTATGTTCAATACCATTATTGAAAGCTTGGATCTGAGAGAGATAGAGCTTTCTCGTAGAAAGTTTACCTGGGCTAATGCTCTGCCAAACCCTACCTATGAAAAACTTGATCGAGTTCTTCCGAGCGCAGAGTGGGAACAAAAGTTCCCTCTGGTTACGGTGCAAACTCTTTCGAGGGGAATATCTGATCACACCCCATTATTCGTGGACTCAGGGGAGCCGAACCACGTGGGTAACAAGAACACCTTCTTTTTTGAGATGTCATGGTTTGAACGTGAGGGGTTCGTGGACTTGATTGCCAGGGAATGGGATAGAGGTGTAGGAGGCAAGACTGCAATAGAGCGTTGGCAGAATAAGATTAGGCATTTGAGAAGTTTTTTACGGGGTTGGGCTAAGCACCTCAGTGGTGTGTATAAGATTGAAAAGGATAGACTCCTTACTCTTATACAGGCCCTGGACATACAGGCCGAATCCACTATTTTATCGCCAGCTGAGCTTCAGGTTAAAAATGAGGCGGAGAAGAGGTTGAAAGAATTGCTCCGCGAAGAAGAATTGAAGTGGGCTTTGCGTGCTAAAGTCCGCAAAATGGTCCAAGGGGACGCGAATACTCAATTCTTCCATTTGATAGCTAATGGCAAGCACAGAAAGAAGCATATCTTTCAGCTTGAACAAGACGAGGGCACTATTTTAGGTCAGGATAACCTAAAAACATATATTACCGATTATTATAAGTAGTTATTTGGACCTCCGGAGGATAATTGTGTGTCCCTCGATGAGTCCAGGACTGAGGATGTGCCCCAGCTACCGGCTGCCGATAATGATATTCTGGTTGCCCCGTTCTTGGAGAAGGAGGTGTTTGATGCTATTGCACAAATGAAAAACAATAAGGCTCCCGGACCGGATGGATTCCCGGCAGAGTTCTATAAAAAGTGCTGACACATTATTAAGGGAGATTTACTACCTATGTTTCATGATCTGTTCTCTGGACAGTTTCAATTATTTCACTTGAATTTTGGGATTATCACACTGCTTCCCAAGAAAACGGATGCTGTGAGAATTGAGCAATTCAGGCCGATCTGTCTCCTCAATGTTAGTTTCAAAATTTTCACCAAGGTCGGGACTAATAGGCTCACACAGATTGCGCATTCTGTGGTGCAACAGTCCCAAACTGCTTTCATACCGGACAGAAATATCCTTGAAGGGGTGGTCGTCCTGCATGAAACACTCCATGAAATCCATTCCAAAAAATTAGATGGAGTAATTTTTAAGGTGGATTTCGAGAAAGCGTACGATAAGGTCAAATGGCCATTCCTCGAACAGTCATTGCGTATGAAAGGTTTTGATGAAGCCTGGCGCCGACAGGTTGAATCATTTATGCAAAAAGGTAGTGTGGGAATTAAAGTTAATGATGACATAGGTCATTACTTCCAGACACATAAAGGCCTAAGACAAGGAGATCCGATGTCCCCTATCCTGTTTAACATTGTGGTGGATATGTTAGCAATTTTGATAGGAAGGGCTAAGGAAAATGGTCAAGTAGGTGGATTGGTACCTCATCTTATTGATGGGGGTGTATCCATCCTTCAGTACGCTGATGATACAATCATCTTTATGGAGCATGACTTGGCCAAGGCGAGAAATATGAAGCTTGTGTTATGCCTATTTGAACAATTGACCGGGTTAAAGATTAACTTTCATAAGAGTGAGCTGTTCTGTTTTGGTAGGGCCAAAGACGAACAAGATGCTTATAGGCAATTGTTTGGGTGTGAGTTGGGAGAGTTACCCTTCTCTTACCTGGGGATTCCAATCCAGCATCGTAGGCTGAGGAATAGAGAGTGGAAGTGCATCGAGGAACGATTTGAGAAGAAAATGAGTTGCTGGAAGGGTAAGCTCATGTCATACGGAGGCCGATTAATCCTGATTAATTCGGTGCTCACGAGTATGCCAATATTTCTCCTATCGTTCTTTGAGGTCCCAGTTGGTGTTAGGAAGAGACTGGACTTCTATCGATCGCGTTTCTTTTGGCAGGTGATGAGCTTAAAAGAAAATATCGGCTTGCCAAATGGGATATCATCTGTAGACCGAAAGATCAAGGGGGTCTAGGTATTGAGAATCTAGAAGTTAAGAATAAATGCCTTCTTAGCAAGTGGCTGTGGAAGCTCTCATTCGAGAATGATGTTATGTGGGCTCAAATCCTTCGCAACAAGTACCTCCAGACAAAAACTTTGTCCCAGGTTACAGTCAGGCCAGCCGATTCACCTTTCTGGAAAGGCCTGATGAAAGTCAAACAGTCCTTGTTTAATAGGACGAAGTTTGTTATTGAAAACAACACGAGTACACATTTCTGGGAGGATACTTGGCTCGGCGAGACACACTTGGCCATCCAATATCCGTCTTTGTACCGCATTATTCAACGACGTGAGGTGTTCGTCGCATCGGTCTTTCAATCTACCCCCCTTAATATTCAGTTCCGACGAACGCTAGCGGGCAATCGTTGGGAAGAATGGCTCCGTCAAGTTAGGAGACTGATGGAGGTCCAGCTTTGACAACAACCCGATGAATTACGCTGGAAATTGACTAAGTCTGGAGTATTCACGGTTAAATCAATGTATATTGATGTTATTAATTCGAACTCCATTCCTACGTCCAAGCATGTTTGGGATGTCAAAGTTCCTTTGAAAATAAAAGTGTTTATGTGGTTTGTCCATAAACAAGTTATTTTAACTAAGGACAACTTGATAAAGCGTAATTGGACAGGACCTACTAGGTGTAGTTTCTGCGATCGGGATGAGACTATCAAACTCCTCTTTTTTGATTGCCCGTTGGCCAAGGTACTTTGGCAGACGGTCCACATTGCTTTTAATATCAATCCACCGAATTCTGTTAATGCGTTATTTGGGACATGGCTTAATGGGATTGAGCCTGACTTAGCGAGACATATTCGGGTTGGAGTTTGTGCTTTGCTGTGGACTATCTGGACTTGCAGAAATGATTTGGTTTTTAACAGAATATCATGTATACATTTTTTGCAGGTCATATTCCGAACTACGGCTCTGATCCGTTCGTGGTCGCTACTCACCCAGACGAAGGCCAGGGAGCATTTGGTTACTGGGTCTTTCCGCTGGGAGATGGTAGCTCGGGATATTTTCAACCGGTTTGGATGGCGGTCATGTAATAGGATAGGCAATTAGTTTCCCTATCTAGTTTTAGCCAGCCGGTTGTGGCGTCTTTTCTTGGCTAGTTGGTGTTTCTAGACCTTATTGGCTCTGTGTGAGCTTTCTGTGCTTTTTTATTACTTTTGGAGACCTTTGGAACCATGTTGACACTACTTTATTTGGTTAATAAGATGGTCGTATGCATCTTTCTGATGCAGAGGCCGGGGAATCCCCCCTTTTAAAAAAAATTACAATTTACAAGTACAATCAAAGATCCAAGAAACTATAAAGTAACTCGTACAACTAAAAATTACAATGAAATCTTTGGGATACACTTTCTTCATGGTAGTGATTTTTGAATGACGAAATTCTCATTGAAGGAGCCCCTGATGGTGAATTCTATTTTGTGCATTTTGCATCAGACAGGCTGGCCTTTCACATAGGAGGATCGAAGCGAGCGTTAGGTGGGACGGCCCATTATCTAGCATAAAAAGTGAACATTATGTTACCATTTTCAAGAACATTGTAGAATGTTTCAGACCGGGATTTTTCTTTTTACCGGTTTTTTTGTTTGTTTAGGTTTTTAAAACATGTGCACAAGTTTTTAAGAAAGTTTCCAAAACTTGTGTTTTCCAAAAATGTCCGTGCTTAAAAGTATTCACAGTGTTTTTTTTTAAATCACGTTTTTGAAATTTTCTCCTGAAATTCGAGAAAAGTGTTCCCAAATTCTAATAAATGTCTGTGTTTCCAAAAAAATCCTTATTTTTAGAAATGCTCGTGCCTACGAATATTCACAATTCAAACCAATTTTTTTTGAGACAATTCAAACCAATTTGTTTTAAAAAAAGTGTTCGTGTTTCAAAGAATGTCGCGAACCTTTGGAGATTTCTTTTGTTGGACCTTGACCCAAATGGGCTTGTTTAGGGCCTGCTGAAGCGAGTGGTGTCGGCCCGAGAAACCGTTGTTGTTTACAGGGCTGGGTTGGGCCTGCTGCATCTCCTCGTTTTCTTTCCCCCATCGCCTGAACGGAGCCGCCGCCGCCGCCGCCGTTCCTCTGCCCGGCCGTCGTCGTCCTCCCCCTCCGACTGAAATCCCTCCCCTCCACACAATCTTCCAGCGATTCCTCTCGGTTGCTTCCGCTACCCTCACTCACTCCTCTGCGCGGCCCTCGCCCCCACCAATTAATGGCTTCGTCCACGCTCGCCGCAGCCAGCTGCTTCGCGGCCGAGGGCGCCACCTGCACGCCGACCGGCATGCAAGATCTGCGGCGACCACGATGCGTCTCTCCTCCTGCTGCTTCTGCTGCTGCTTCCGCCTCGTCCCAAGGTCTGTCGGTCCATCAGAGTAACAGGCCGGTTAGATAAATTGCACTAATTGATGTCAGTACTACTCTTCTTTCAGCGAGAAAATGTAAGGTCTCGACCAAATAATTGATGTTTGGACCGGTGTGTATTGGCATCAGTTGCTTCATTTCTGTTGGAGGAGTGGATGTGTCGACCGGTGTGTCCTTAAGCCAGAAGAAGACCGCCATTTGTGTTGTTTTATCCTAGTGTTTCAAGAAACAAGTAGCTACTACGCGATGTTCACAATATATGCTCCCGTCAATTATGATATTTGATACAATGCATAGATACATTGATTCCTTTTACAAGAGGTTGTGTCTAAACAATATATATGTGCTGTGTTGGGCATGTCAGCAGACTTAATCTATTTAGTTTGCAGGTATCTGTGAAAACAATAACTCTTTGCAGGGGGTCTCACGTGTCCCCATGGAATCTCGAGGTAAACAATACTAATAGAGTAGACCGAGAAAGCTTGTTAATCTTTTCATTTGTACGGGCAAGTGTTATTACTTTACTTAATCTATTATTGGCACTGACGAAAGCTACCAGTTAATTAAACAGCGATGCCACTAAGCAGCCAGCAAGTGGGCAACTTGCTAATTTCTTTCACAAGATTCGAGGCTGCCTTTGTAGACTGTACTGGCCAGAGAGCCTGCATCTCTTTACGCAGGCTCCGAAAGGGTATCCAACCACTATTTGCTCTTGCCTGGCTCCACTACGCTGCTAGTAGATCGGGTAAGGCATCAAGAAATCTGAAGATTCTGTTCGTTTCATTCATCTTCTCCAGTTAATTAGAGTATACCTCCACTGCATGCAGGGAATGTTTCATGACGGTCGCTTCTGTTAGTCGTTCCTGTTGCTCCACAGATCACTTATGATTGGGCTGATCCCGCGCCGCTCTCCGAGATCTCGCAGCACTCTCAGCAGTGGCTTATCAGTTTTGTTACCGGCATGTATTCAGGTATATATTGGGTCTCAGTGTTCTGCACATCTGGATCTCTAACGCAGTGGTACTCCTTTTGTTCACTAGCTGATCGATAATCTTCTATTATGTATTGAAGGTGTAGCAGCAGGGGTTCTCTCTTGGTGATTCACCGATAATCTTCTATTATCTATTTTTAAATCTGGCTTGGGCTCAATCTTACGAGATCTTAAGAGTAGCGATGGGCTGACCATTGGAGTAAACTGTGTCTTCAAAATGATAACTATTGAATTTTATTATTGACGATTTTTCCTTGCTGGAAGACTAGTTTGCAAGGTAAGACTTGCTATCGTACTCAGAGCTTGCAACTTTACTTTCATGACTACAGTGTAACAAATTATCATGATTTCTGGACTACCATCTGGGAAAACGATTTAGGGTTAAGATAGATCTGACAAATAAAAATATATAGCTGGATGATTAATCTGTATATGTTGTAACTCAGTGCACCATTCAGTGAGTTGGCTGCTATGCAGATGCAATCTGATGGCTATTCAACTGAGCCAAAAATAATAATAATAAATAATTTTAACATACGAAAGTCAAACACACGTTAAAATTTGCAAGCACAAATCATATAAAAGAATATAATGCCAACTCAGGAATTTATAATTCAGTACTTGGCCCTAATCCTGAATCTGTATGTTGCATAGCTCCATTATTCTAAATTCCTGTAAGCCTTATATACACCAGTATAATTTTAAAGAGAGACGTTTGTCATTGTGACGACGTTTGTCATTGTGAAAGCATATTAACATACCTTATGCATTCATTTTCAGCCTTCACTTTTTGCCATCTACGGAACAAGTCACCCTGGTATTTTTTGGTGATCTACCCCCTGTGCGCGCAATTTCATCTGTTTGATGGCAGCCGTTCTAGCATCTTTGCTTGGATCATGTGCCAATAAGTTGAAAGATATCATCACAGATGAGGCCATACTAATCCTAGGGGTGGAAAAAGAACTCACAAAACTGCTGCGGCGAGTGGAACTAATTCAGTGTTGTATATACGATGCTGAGAAAAGGAGGATAAAAGAGCAAGCAGTAAACAATTGGCTTGGTCAACTGAGAGATGTTATATATGATGTTGATGAAATCTTGGATGTGGCTAGATGTAAAGGAAGCAAGCTACTTGCTGGCCACCCTTCACCATCATCAGGCAAATCAGTTGCATGTAAAGGCCTTTCAGTTTCCTCTTGTTTTTGCAACATCGTGCCACGCCGTGATGTTGCTACTCGGATTAGAAGCCTGAACAAAAAGATTGAGAACATTGCAAATGACAAGATATTTTCGACTTTCAATAGTAGTACACAACCTACTCGAAATGGTCCAACATCCAAACTGATAAGAAGTTCCAATCTTGTTGAGCCCAACCTTGTGGGGAAGGAGATCATACATTCTAGCATGAAGTTGGTGGATTTAGTGCTTGCACACAAGGAATACAAGTCTTACAAGCTCGGTATCGTTGGAACTGGAGGAGTTGGTAAGACAACACTAGCTCAAAAAATATACAATGATCAGAAAATAAAAGGAAGCTTCAAGATGCACGCATGGATTTCTGTTTCGCAAGACTACAGTGAAGTAACTCTTTTGAAAGAGGTCCTCCGGAATATTGGTGTGCATAGTGAGCAAGGAGAAAGCATAACAGAGCTACAGAGAAATCTTGCACAAACAATTAAAGGCGAGAGTTTCTTTCTCGTTCTTGATGATGTGTGGCATTCCAATGTATGGACAGATTTACTGAGACCTGCATTTCACGAAACAAGTGTCGGAATAATATTGGTAACCACACGAGATTATCAAATTACAAAATAATGATGAAGTTACCTGGTTATGGATTGCTGAAGGCTTCATCGAGGAGCAGCAAGGCCAACTACTAGAAGATATAGCAGAAGAGTACTACTACGAGCTAATACATCGGAATCTCCTCCAGCCAAATAGGATAAATTTTGACTAGGCTGAATGCAAAATGCATGACCTCTTAAGACAACTTGCTTTAAATATATCAAGAGAAGAATGTTTTGTTGGAGATGTTGAATCATTAAGGGGTGAAAATATGTCAAAACTGCGACGTGTTACTGTTGTCGCAGCTAAGAAGGATATATTAGTGTTGCCTAGCAAGGATAAGGTGGAAGTTAAGGTGAGGACTTTCCTAACTGTTCGTGGTCCACAGAGAATTGAGGATACATTGTTCAAGAGATTTCTTCTTCTTCGTGTTTTGGTACTGAATTACACACTTGTGCAAAGCATTCCAGACTATATAGGAAAATTGATACATCTACGTCTACTTAATCTGGATTATACTGGCATATCTTGTCTTCCGGAATCCATTGGCTCCCTAAAGAACCTTCAAGTACTGAGCTTGAGATGGTGTGATGATCTGCACAGTCTTCCTTTAGCAATGACCCTCTTGTGCAGTTTAAGATGTCTTGATCTTTTTGGCACAGAAATAAATCAGGTTCCAAAAGGCATAGGGAAATTGAAGTTCCTTACTTGTTTGAGAGATTATCCTGTTGGTGATGGAAGTGATAATGCCGTTGTACAAGATGGATGGAAGTTGGAAGAGTTGTCTTCTTTGTCGCAGATGAGGTATCTTTCTCTTGTTAAATTGGAAAGAGCAACTTACTGCAGTACAAATACAGTGCTTACAGACAAAAAACATCTAAAAGAACTGACACTATAGTGGACTGAACGTGGAGAGGGGTCATATTCAGAAGAAGATGTTAGTAATACTGAGAAGGTCTTTGAGCAGCTAATACCTCCGCACAACCTAGAAGGCTTATCTATTGTTAATTTCTTTGGTCAGCGGTATCCCACCTGGTTTCGTACCACTTTTTTGTCTTCCTTAATATACTTGAAACTCATAGATGTACGATCATGTGTGCATCTTCCACCAATCTGGCAGCTACCAAACTTGAAATATCTGAGAATTAAAGGAGCACATGCAGTTGCCAATCATGCAGAATTTGTTGGCTGCAAGAAGGGTGATCATGTATGTAATGAGTTTGTTGCTTTCCCAAAACTTGAATGGTTGATCTTCGCAGATATGCCCAACTGGGAGGAGTGGTCTTTTTTTGAGGAAGAAGTTGTTGCTGATGTAAGCGGAGTGGATGGAGCTGCTGAGATCCGAAAAGAGGATGCCCAACCTGCAAGGGTGCGACTGCTGCCTCGTTTGTTGGAATTGCAACTTCATGGTTGCCCGAAGCTGAGGGATCTCCCGCAACAGCTTGGAAAGGGCACCACCTGTTTGAAGGAGCTCACCTTAATAGGACTAAACAGCTTGAAGGCCGTGGAGGACCGCCCAGTGCTCTCTGAGGTCCTTGTTATTGAGGATTGTGAAGGCCTAGAGAAGGTCTCCAACCTCCCTGAAGTGGCAGAGCTGCATGTGGGTGGTTGTCCAAACTTAAGCCATGTAGAGAGATTGGACAGTTTGCAGCGGCTGGGGCTGGGCGAGGATATGCAAGAGATCTCTTCACGTTGGGTGCCTGGGCTTCAAGAGCAGCACCAACGACTTCATGGCGAAGATCTGGATATCTACACGCTGTTTAGGTAGTAGATGGCTGGTAAGGTATATCTGAACACTGTCCACTGGTTGGATATTTAGTATTGTCTCGGATTGTGTCAACCATGGTCCATATTCTCACAAGACAATTTTCTGACTCATTCGATTCATGCATTGAAACGCCATATGGTTACTTAGATTATCAAAATCGTCCTTTTAGAGTTCAAGAATATTGGCATCTATACCTAATTTCTCAGCATGTGTTTTTCCATAAACCAAACTGTGTTTCCTAATTCATATTATATACTCGGCAAAATGGTGTCAGCCTAGGACTGGTGGCACGGATCTTTTCGGCTGGCAAAGCACGAGTCATACTAAGCTGAGGAGGCCTGTCCATGCTGAAGATGTGCAAGTGTGCCATGGTCTGTAGCGAGCTGGTGAAGGAAGTGTTCTGTTTTTCTTTGGGCAGGTGCCTGGAATTAATGTATCGAGTTTCGTCTTATTTCTTTCTGAACTTTCCCAGAGACTTTCATTGTACTGAATCTGCGTGGCATGGTTTGTTCTTTGGATGTAATCAACACAGTTCGTTTATCTCCTTCTGAACTTGGGGCCGGAGGCCCTTTAATGTAGTGAACCTGCGTGGCACGGTTTCGTTGTTTGAATGGAAGTGATGAATTTCGTTTTGGCACGATTTTATTCTTTGAGTGGAAGTGATGAATTTCGTTGTGTTTCTTTCTGAGCTTGGGCCTGAGGCGTTGCCACGCTGAAACTTTTTTTTGAACCGGGCATAACCCCTTTCCATTATTTTGACATAACGGAAATACAAAGTTTTCACCATTGCAGTTACTAAGGAGGCGAGAAAGGGAAAAGCGAGTTCAACGCATCCTTGGGAAACCCACTGCAAGCACTCGTCCTCGAGCAGCTTACCGTGGGGCGAAAATCCAAGGACACCCAAACACAGAACTAGCCCTAAACGATATCATCCAGCGAGGTTTTGATACAGCAAAAACGTGTGGGGAATTTCGTTTTGCCACGCTGAAACTGTGCCTGTATCGCTATTGCGTTTTGCTTCTTTATGCTTTGATTCTTTCAATGCAAGTGGGGAATTTCGTTTTGTTTCTTTGAATGTAAGAAAGAACATTTTGCTCGTATAAACCTGTGTTCCACTGCATCGTCAAACTGCATCATTCAAAAGACAGACGATGAAGATGATGTCAAACTGACACGGCTGCAGAATGAACACGGCACCACGTGTGCAGTGCGGCGCTTCAGGAGCAGTGGAGCACAACCACGGAGGGAGGGAGGTACCCTGCGTCGGAGCTCTGGAACCTTGGCGAGTGGCGAAAGATGACGATGCCGGAGGTGCTCAAGTACGTTCTGAAGCAGCTATGTTGGTGAGAAGCGTGATCTATCATCTATGAATGGGCAAACTCTGTTTCTCTGCAGTGGAGCTGAAGAACATCTATGAATGGGAAATTGCAGAAACCATCACTACACGATCTGCCATAGTGGTAGTCCAATGCAAGTGCTCTTTAGTGCTATCTTTTTCATTTCTGAACTTAATTAGTACAATGCAGTGCAGAATTAAGGGGTGAAAGGTTTGCACTCCGTAGCTGAAAAGTATTGATTTGGTGCCAGTTTAAAGTTATAGTATCAAACTTCCTGGTTGAAATGCATGCTGAAGAAAATTCAGTCACGGGCTATACTACTGATTTTAAGTTGTTCTACCGAAATAGGCTTGCGCCCCGCTATATTAATATAGCAACCACCCGATACTACCAGAAGTTCGACGCTGGGGCAAACAGCACAACCATGCCCAAAAGAAAAACAAGAGAAAAGTAAGAGAAAGAAATGCCGGCAGCACCGGATGAACGAAAGCTGAAGCATCCCGCAACCGTTGCGCCCACCGAAGACATTCACCATGCTCCAATTGTTGGAAATATGCCCTAGAGGCAATAATAAAAGCATTATTATTATATTTCCTTGTTCATGATAATTGTCTTTTATTCATGCTATAATTGTGTTATCTGGAAATCGTAATACATGTGTGAAAAATAGACACCAACATGTCCCTAGTAAGCCTCTAGTTGACTAGCTCGTTGATCAACAGATAGTCATGGTTTCCTGACTATGGACATTGGATGTCATTGATAACGAGATCACATCATTAGGAGAATGATGTGATGGACAAGACCCAATCCTAAACATAGCACAAGATCGTATAGTTCGTCTGCTAGAGTTTTCCAATGTCAAGTATCTTTTCCTTAGACCATGAGATCGTGTAACTCCCAGATACCGTAGGAGTGCTTTGGGTGTACCAAACGTCACAACGTAACTGGGTGACTATAAAGGTATACTACGGGTATCTCCGAAAGTGTCTGTTGGGTTGACACCGATCAAGACTGGGATTTGTTACTCCGTATGACGGAGAGGTATCACTGGGCCCACTCGGTAATGCATCATCATAATGAGCTCAAAGTGACCAAGTGTCTGGTCACGGGATCATGCATTACGGTACGAGTAAAGTGACTTGCCGGTAATGAGATTGAACGAGGTATTGGGATACCGACGATCGGATCTCGGGCAAGTAACATACCGATTGACAAAGGGAATTGTATACGGGGTTGCTTGAATCCTCAACATCGTGGTTCATCCGATGAGATCATCGAGGAGCATGTGGAAGCCAACATGGGTATCCAGATCCCTCTGTTGGTTATTGACCGGAGAGCGATCTCGGTCATGTCTACATGTCTCCCGAACCCGTAGGGTCTACACACTTAAGGTTCGGTGACGCTAGGGTTGTAGGGATATGTATATGCAGTAACCCGAATGTTGTTCGGAGTCCCGGATGAGATCCAGGACGTCACGAGGAGTTCCGAAATGGTCCGAAAGTAAAGAATTATATATAGAAAGTGCTATTTCGGCCATCGGGACAAGTTTCAGGGTCACCGGTATTGTACCGGGACCACCGGAAGGGTCCCGGGGGTCCACCGGGTGGGGCCACCTGCCCCGGGGGGGGGGGGGCACATGGGCTGTAGGGGGTGCGCCTTGGCCCATATGGGCCAAGGGCACCAGCCCTAAGAGGCCCATGCGCCAAGAGATAAGGAAGGGAAGAGTCCCAAAGGGGGAAGGCACCTCCTAGGTGCCTTGGGGAGGAGGGATTCCTCCCTTGGCCGCCGCCCCCCTAGGAGATTGGATCTCCTAGGGTCGGCGCCCCCCCTAGGCTTCCTATATATAGTGGGGGAAGGAGGGCCTCTCACACCACGCCTTTGGTGCCTCCCTCTCCCTCACCAACACATCCTCCTCCTCCATAGTGCCTGGCGAAGCCCTGCCGGAGTACTGCAGCTCCACCACCACCACGCCGTCGTGCTGCTGTTGGAGCCATCTTCCTCAACCTCTCCTTTCCCCTTGCTGGATCAAGAAGAAGGAAACGTTACGCTGACCGTACGTGTGTTGAACGCGAAGGTGCCGTCCGTTCGGCGCTAGGATCTCCGGTGATATGGATCACGTCGAGTACGACTCCCTCATCCCCGTTCTTTGAACGCTTCCGCTCGCGATCTACAAAGGTATGTAGATGCATCCGATCACTCGTTGCTAGATGAACTCATAGATGAATCTTGGTGAAACCGTAGGAAAATTTTTGTTTTCTGTAACGTTTCCCAACAGTGGCATCATGAGCTAGGTCTATGCGTAGTTCTCTTTGCACGAGTAGAACACAATTTGTCGTGGGCGTTGATGTTGTCAACTTTCTTGCCGCTACTAGTCTTATCTTGCTTCAACGGTATTGTGGGATGAAGCGGCCCGGACCAACCTTACACGTACGCTTACGTGAGACTGGTTCCACCGACTGACATGCACTAGTTGCATAAGGTGGCTGGCGGGTGTCTGTCTCTCCCACTTTAGTTGGAGCGGATTCGATGAAAAGGGTCCTTATGAAGGGTAAATAGAAGTTGACAAATCACGTTGTGGCTTTCACGTAGGTAAGAAAACGTTCTTGCTAGAACCCTACTTCAGCCACGTAAAACTTGCAACAACAATTAGAGGACGTCTAACTTGTTTTTGCAGCAAGTGCTTTGTGATATGATATGGCCAAAGTTGTGATGAATGATGAATGATATATATGTGATGTATGAGATGTTCATGCTATTGTAATAGGAATCACGACTTGCATGTCGATGAGTATGACAACCGGCAGGAGCCATAGGAGTTGTCTTTATTTTTTGTATGACTTGCGTGTCATTGAGAAACGCCATGTAAATTACTTTACTTTATTGCTAAACGTGTTAGCCATAGTAGTAGAAGTAATAGTTGGCGAGCAACTTCATGGAGACACGATGATGGAGATCATGGTGTCATGTCGGTGACAAGATGATCATGGAGCCCCAAGATGGAGATCAAAGGAGCTATGTGATATTGGCCATATCATGTCACTATTATTATTTGATTGCATGTGATGTTTATCATGTTTTTTGCATCTTGTTTACTTAGAACGACGGTAGTAAATAAGATGATCCCTCATAATAATTTCAAGAAAGTGTTCCCCCTAACTGTGCACCGTTGCGACAGTTCGTTGTTTCGAAGCACCACGTGATGATCGGGTGTGATAGATTCTAACGTTCACATACAACGGGTGTAAGACAGATTTACACATGCAAACACTTAGGTTGACTTGACGAGCCTAGCATGTACAGACATGGCCTCGGAACACAGAAGATCGAAAGGTCGAGCATGAGTCGTATAGAAGATACGATCAACATGAAGATGTTCACCAACGTTGACTAGTCCGTCTCACGTGATGATCGGACACGGCCTAGTTAACTCGGATCATGTTATACTTAG